GGTGTGTTATTCGCTACGCTCGTTGATAATGCTCCTCTTCTTCGCGCGCATCCTCTCGCGGTCGCGCCGCGCCGCATGCGCCTCCCATAGATTTCTATACATATACTAACTAGACTGCTAACCTCCGAGCTGAAAAGTGAGGCAAGAGTTCAGCCATGTCTTGTTGGGTAAATAAAGTAGTATGTGTGCGTCGGTCGGTCAGTGACACACGCCGATGCACACAACCATTCCGTCCGTCACTGTGAGGAACGTGCATTTAGATTCAGGGTTCCGTTTTAAAATCCTCTTCTTTGAGGAATATTTTACACGATTGCCATTCCGAGACCATTTTAAGCGTTTCTGATCTATTTCTCGAGTTCCTAAACTTATTTAAAAAAAAAGTGTCGCAACCATTCTGTCCCTCACTGTACAGTGACGGGCAAAACGGTTACAGCACTCTTTTTATGAGTTCGGGAACATGCATTTAGATCGAGGGTTACGTTTTAAAATCTTCTTCTCCGAGGAATATTTTACTCGATGGCCATTCCGAGACCGTTTTAAGCGTTTCCGATCTATTTCTCGAGCTCCTAAACTCTTAAAAAAAAAAAACAAGTGACGCAACCATTCTGTCCCTCACTGTACAGCGATGGACAAAACGGTTGCGACACTTTATTGTAATGAGTTTTTTTATGAGTTAGGAACTCGAGAAATAGATTGGAAACGCTCAAAGTGGTTATGGCCATCGAGTAAAATATTCCCCGGAGAAGAAGATTTTGAAACGTAAGCCTCAACGCCTCCGCGCCGCTAATTAATCGTCCGCGTTGCGATTTTCGAAGACCACGAGAGACGGTTCGGCCAGAGGGGACGTGACACATTCAATTTCGCCGATTTCCTCGCTCAACGAGCACATTCTATTATCGCGCCAGCGAGTTATCGCGGTGCACGCGCGCGCGCGCGCGACAGTCGGCCATTGGAATATCCATGATCGGGGAGCATTACTTGACACAGGATATTCGACAATGCGAGGGTCATGCGAGTCGAAACCGGAAGCAGTAACCTGCGGTTCTCATTCTACCGAACGAGACCGCCTTTCCTCCGCGGCGTCCCGCGGTTATTTGTCGCCATTTTAACGTCAAAGCGTCGTCGAAAGCGTTATTGCGACGTCGGAACGGCGACAAGTGAGGTCGGGCTTGACTACCCGAGGCCGCGCCAGGCTGTCGCGAATCCGCGCGATTCCCGAATGCCGTTCCTATTCTTCTCTCCGTCCGAGCGAAATATGTCTCGGAATCGCATTTTTGTCAGGCGCGACGTAACCGTAAACTCGTAACTGGAGAACAGCGCGCGCAATTTTTATTTACCACGCGACTCGAGATCGCGTTCCACTCGGTTACCCAAAATCCATCCTCCGTCGCGTCGCGCGCGCCGGGTCCCGTCCCGGCGAACCGACCGATCCCGAAGACTTGCTGCTATTTACTCGGGTATTATTCGTTGAACCCTGAACCACGGCGTGAACATCGCGCCCGACATCGCGTGTCGCGGGCTCGCGCGCGCGTGCATGCGTACGTGCGTACATGCCTGCGTGCGTGCACGCGTGCGTGTGTGCGACATCGCGTCGCGGCCACTCGGTTACGTCACTGTCGTCGTGGACATTATTATGTTCCTACTGACGCAGGTACAATATGCCTGCCACGCTATTAGAGCAGGCCGCGTTAACCTGAAACCCCTCCGCGCCAGCGGAGTGTGTGTTTCGTAACGTCGCGCGCGCGACAGAGAGAGAGAGAGAGAGAGAGAGAGAGAGAGAGAGAGAGAGAGAGAGAGAGAGAGAGAGAGAGAGAGAAAGAGAGAGCTAGCTAGCTGTAAGCGATATATCCCTTATTATCAGTAAAAAAAGAAATGAAAAATACGCGAGTCGTTTGAGAGATGTCTCGTACATACACGCGATGAATGTCGCGATCCCTCGTCCTTGCTCGTCACTCCTCTCCGAAGAAGAAGAAGCGGCTTTGACTTCGAGGAAGAAAAATGTCGCAAGTGCTCGCAAGTGCGAACATGGCGATGCGTTAGCGGGCTGTTGAGTCTATACGTGTATATCTAATACCGTTTAATTGTATTAAGCGATAAGATCGAGCGATACTCGGGCGCGTTCTCCGCCGTGCTAGATCCGCTTGAAGAATCTACGATCTATGAGAGAAGGAGAGAGAGAGAGAGAGATAGAGAACCAGAATCAGAATTATTATTTATTACACGCTCTGGGAGTTCTGGGACAAGTTCCCTAAAGTGTAGGAACAGTTATTACAAAAAATTTAACTATGAGTGAATAGTGCATATGAATAGTAGTTGAGATAAGAATATAAAAAGAAATAAGATGAAATATGAAAAGAATGAAATAGAGAAAACGAATAAAAATGAGAGAGAGAGAGAGAGAGAGAGAGAGAGAGAGAGAGAGAGAGAGAGAGAGACGCGCGTGTGCCTTTTCCGTTCAATTTGCCGCGCAAAAAGATCTCGAAACGGATGATTCGAACAAGCGCGTCCCAGTTGGGAAGAGAGCACGTGTCCCGCCACGTTATGTAGCGCCGTAATAGCGATTTCATTACCAGTCCGTTTGGACATGTAGAGCAACATCTGCACGCCGGGATCGGCGCTGGTGCGCGAGAGCCTCTATTAGAAATTCGTTCCTCCCAGTCGACTCCGTTCTACCGATTCTCGTGTCTCCTCCTCCTCCTTCCTGCCCCCCCTCCCCCCCCTCCCCTTTGTCTTTTGCTGCACACAGCTAAAACCGCAACACGCGCGACGGCCGAATGCGGCCGGTACACCTCGTTGGTTTTTCATTCGCGAGATTACGATAACTCGCGCGCGTTTACATTGCGATTGATAGTAACTTCCTTTCCCACGCTTAGTATCAGGATTGCGTTATCTGCGCGATGCGCGGCGGCGGCAGTGGCGGCGACGCGTCGACGCGCGCGCGAAGCAGCATTGCGACGGTGTTTACCGTGTTGATATCGGCGTGACATTAAAAAGAAAAGGAAAAACGTTCGAAAAGGTAAAGCGTGGTATCACACGAAAGCAACTTAAACAGCGAGACTAGGGAAATGACCGATGACTGTCGAGAACGTAAGCGGCCATTTTGAAGCTTGAGCAATGTCGAAAATTCCGATTGGTTGAAATTCTCAAATCTTACGTTTTACTGCTTAAGTTTTTTTTTCTTGTGTTTCCAGCTTGAGGTCCGAAACAGTAAGACTTAAAATTTTCAACCAATCGGAATTTTCAGCGTTGCTTGAGTTTCAAAATGGCTGCCTTCTCGTTCCGTACCGTCATTTTCCTAAGTCTGCTCAAGTCTTTTCGTGCGTTCGGGCTTTAACAATTGAACAAAAGACAAACGTTTCGGCGCGCGATCGACGAATTTCGAAAAACTGCTCGCGGAGTCGCGTTTTTACGCGAAATCGCCAGGTGTGCACGTTGATTTGATCAAGTCCCCCCCCCCCCTCTCCCTTTTATTCCGCGATGATCGCTGCACGCCAGCCTGAAATAACAAATTCCATTCATTGAATTATTCAGCTTTATGGCTTTGCTTTTCATTTGCACACAAAACGTACGGACATTTTTACGTCGGTTTCATATAACAGCTCGAGCGAGCCGGAGCCGTAATTACTTACCCGCGGACGTCCCCGGGGACGGTTTTTGCACGGCGCACCTCGCGCATCGGCGCGGGCCGATGAGAATAAACCGGCGGTAATTGTTATTCCACTTTTGCGATCGTGGATTTTACATAAATGTCGTCGCGAACGACACGCGCGTCGGACGCGGCGTTAGACGTTTCCCGTCGCTCTTAACATACCGAAATGTGTAAAACGAATAAAGAGAAGAGAGAGGCCGTCGCGGAGGAGAGAGGAGAAGGGAGAGAGAGAGCGCGCTCGCGAGAGAGAGAGAGAGAGAGAGAGAGAGAGAGAAAGAGAAAGAGAGGGGTGGAGACTCTTGTCGTGAGCACTGTATGCAAGTCAAACGACGCATTATTCCTTGACCTGACCCAACGAAACCTCCTTTCATATTCATTAGGAGCGTCCCACTTCGGTCCCGCCGCTTTGAACCACGAAACGCAACCGTGTGTCTCCGATGCAACGCACGGAATCGATTTGTATGAGAGAGAGAGATACATATCGGAGGGGAGGGAAAAAAAGTACACCTCCCACATGAACGGAAGCGTTAAACAGATGTTAAATAACGATCTACGATGGAGTACGGTCGGCGTGCCGGGTCTTCAGCGGCGTAACTTCGCGCCGAGCACGCGTCGAATCCGACGGGGATAACGTATCGCTGACGGATCGGAGACCTAGACTTTGTAGAGGAAGCGAAGACGTACGTCGTTGCTCGCGCCTGATATCGCTAATCGCGCGCTATCAGACGCGACGAGTCCCGTAAAGCCCCCGTGCTCTTCCGTCCTCCGTCTCTCGAGTTCCGCGCTTTTCCCGCGTCGGGCGCGCCTCCTCGTCTCTTTTTCCTCATTTCTTCCTCGATCCGAGCTGGATGACGCGCGTCCAGATGAGATTCTGACATCTTATCGCGTGCAAGATCGCCCGAGCACAATGCTATTCCCGTGTCGCAGGGCCGTATGCATAACGCCCGTGCGTGTCATTAGCATTTCGACAGTGTGTATCGTTCACCTCGAAAAAGATTTCCGTATCGGTTACGCATCTGCGGATCGGAACGGGACGCGCTGATCTAAGCGCGTTGCGTTCTCAAAGAGCCACCCGTTTTTAAGACGGACGAGGGGCCACACGTAGGCATCTAATTGTCCCGACTTCCTATTCTTGAAGATTCCTTTCTCCTCTTCCACAACGACGCACGTCCGCGTACGTAGATTCCGCTGATAGGTTCTGCGTTCCAGCTCGGATGTAGATTAGGTACAAATTGACTTTCAAAATGTATCCAAATCGGAGGGGAAATATGCGGCTCCGATGCACCGGAATTTCGGAGCGTCGGAGAAGGCGGCTCGGCGCGCATCACCGTAATCCGGCCTTTTGTTGCAGAGGGACGCGGGTCACGCCGATGAGGCCGAGGGCACCTTCTGGGATCTGTCGTGCGTCGACAATCGCAACGCGAGGAATCAGAGTCATGTACGCCAGCTGCAGGAGCAGTTGGCGCAAGCCACCGTGAAAGTACGCGAGTTAGAGTGCGAGCTAAAGCACGTTCAGAAGGTAACAATTGTTAACAACAGGGTCTCCCACTCTCCCCCGTGATGCGACGTTAAAAGTTGGTGAAAATAATAAATATATATACAGATGAACAGTGCGGCCTTCAAGGATGATATATCCGACGGACATCAGAAGGCCGAGGTCGTGCGGGCGAAACAAGACATGCTGAACCGCATAATACAGATGGAAGAAAAGGTACGGGATGTATCAATAATTTTGACATCAGTCATTTTCCGTAATATTTTTAATTTTAAATAAGAATGAGCCCGAAGCCGTAAATAAAGTATAAAGTTACCTAATTGAAGTAAGGGGGAAAAAAGACGCTTTTCCAGAAGTTAGATATTTCAGACACGCTGGTGGGAACAACTCAGGCTGCTTAAATCCGATGGGAGCATTTCTCGAGCCGTGGGTCCACGAGCCAAGAACTGTATCCAGGTTCTAGTTCCGAGAAATGTGTAGCCAATCAACTTGCAGCTTTTCCGTAAAAGATGCACCTGGACACAGTTCTTGGATCGTGAACACAGGGCTTTAGAAATTAATACTCGCTATACTGTTGCGAGTGAGAAAACTTGTTCTCAATCTTTTTGAAGTTTCTTTATTAATCGCATCGACTTTTTTTGCACGATTTTAAATAATAAGCGAGCTCACGAATTATTTGTGAACGGAGATTTTAAGAAAATCGTGCAGATCATTAAAATTCTATATGTATAACTAATAAGTTACTTTTTTTAATGATATTCAGTTTCGCCATTTTGCGTTCTCTTACACGGAAGAAAAATTAATGTCAGATCAACTCTTACACCCTCAAATTAACGCGTTCATTGTTTTGTATATACAATTTACAATCTTCTTACAAGCACTTAAAAAGCTTACATTCCAACAATATTACAGTCCTATTTAAATACTGTAATTGTCATCTCAAGAATACATATAGCTATTTTGTTTCCTTTCCATTCCATTCAAGAAAATTATTCTTAAATAATAAGCGTACATTTTTCTTGACTGAATTGTTAGAAAAGTGCTTCATTCGAGTAAGTTTTTCTTCCTTTAACGCAGTACAATCTCGTTTCAAGACTTTCACGTTGAGACTAAAGATATTTTCAAAAGAAGAATATTCTTTTTTTCTGTGTAGACTCGGGAAGCAGAACGAAATGCTAAACATATCCAATTGGACGAAGCCAGTCTTGTCAATGATTTTCGTTCGGTAATATCGAAATTAAATTCACGTGAGAAGTGCGATTTGGTCAGCGGAGCGCTGAAAGCTCTACAAATCGAAAACGAGACGCACGAAACAATCAAGGACCACGAGAAATCCAAGGAAGAACCCGAGAAGATCGGTGGCTTCGAATATAATCCTTTAGCGCTCAAATATGCAAGCTCGCAACAGAGCAAACCGCACGATTCGGCCCAAGAACTTTTGATCAACATGGAGGAGACGGCGCAGAAGAGAATAGAGGAGCTCCAAAACGAAAATAAAGATCTTCTGGATGCTATGGAAAAACTGGACGAGGAACATACGCAGTCGATTGGTAAGTAAATAGTAGAGTCTTTTCTGTACGTCAACGGCCATTGTCTCGTTCTTACCGTTGTCAATGTTGACATAAATTTCGATTTTTGCGCAGAAAAACTATTGTCGCTCAAGGAAGAAAGTAATAAGAAGCATCGCTCTCTACAAAATGCGTACGAACAACTTTCCATAGATTACAATGAGACTCAGAAAAGAGTAATTGAATTGCGAAACAATGCGTTGAAACACGATGAAAATACCTGTACAGAAACGACTCATCAGTCTGTTCAAACTGATGCGGATAAATCGCACAACCGCGTTCACATAACAGTTCCCTCGCAAGAAGCTGACGTAGTATCAGAAACGAGCGTTTTAGACGATATTACCGAGAAGGTTAAAACTATTTTAAAGAACTGTACCTTGAGTAGCATTGAACCGGGAGAATCGGTCTTTGAAGCTGTCGCGAAACAGTATGTTGATTCTAAATGGAAACTCGACATTTTGGAAAGGAAAGTAACAGAGCTTACTAGAGATTTGAAGGAAACCGAAGAGATGAAAGATGGCTTGCAAATGGAATGTGAGGAGCTGCAGTCTCACATCGATTCGTTATTATTAGAGAAAAATATTAGAATGAAACCGTATCACGGCTTAGAACTAAATTTGCCGGCTATTCCTGAGGCAAGCGAAGAACGAGTAGCTTCTCTGGAAATGGATGTTGAAACTTTGCGAGATGAAGTGAACCGTCTCTCGACTGAGAACAAAACGATACGAGAAACAAATTCAACTTTGCTTGCTGCACAAAGTAACGAAGTGCCTTTGATAGACAACGATGATTCGCAAAGAGATAAAAGTACCAAACTGTATACGCATGTAGGGGAAAACAAAGAGCTTCCAGTAACCTCAGAAATGAGTATAAGTTCGAACGAAGATATAGCGTCGGTCGAGCAACTGACGTTCGATCATGAAAACGCGAAAGAGGAATTGGAATTTTCGGTATCCAAAACGAAGTTGTTAGAAACTAATCTTGCATCTTTGCAGGACACCGTAAACAAATTGGCGGAAGAGAATAAAGATTTGTTACAGAAGAATGATCACTTGGATTTGCAATTATATGACAGGGCTGTGCAAGAACGTGACCTGCAAGAAGAAACTTATCATGTGTTGAGAAACTTGCGAAAACGGCTCGATAAAGCTAATCGTGAAAAAGTAGAATTGGAAAATGTTATTTTTTGTAAGAATGAATCATTAAGAAGGATGGGGTCTCTAATTGACACGGCACAATCTGAAGTAGTAAAATTGAGTCAGGATAATGATAGATTAATTAAAGAAAATGTATCTCTGTCGGAGCAATTAACTGCTATACACGACGAATCCTCGGGTAAGATCGAGCTGTTGAACACAGAAATGTCATTGCTTCAGCAAGAACATGAAGACTTGAAACACGAGGTATCGATTTATAAAGAAGAGTTACCTGTGCTGAAGCAAAAACTATACAAGGCGCAGGAATATAACACAGAACTGGAAAACAAATATGCGTTAAAGATGCAAAGCGAGCAATCCGAATTACATAAGAAAGATATTCATAGTCAGGCGATGGAAATAGAACGGCACGGAAACGAATTAAATCTTAAAGAGCCGTTTACTGAAGATTTGAACTTGCTACGAAACAGATGCGAGCTTTTGGAACAAGAAATAGAAATGCTTCGTAAGGAAACACAGGAATTAAAAAAAAATACCACGGAGATATCTTCGACAAACAAAGATAGAGCTAATAAAGAGGAAGAACTTTTAATTGCTGAAGATAATTTTGTCGGAGTACAAAACACAGACGTAAAAACAGAAAAACACGATTTAATGACAAGAGATATGGATACAATGTTAAACGAACGACAAATGTTTGAATCGATTGTCGATGAAGAAAGGCGAGAAAAAGATAGCATAAAAGCACGCAATAAAAACTTAATGGATGAGATCAATGATTTGCGCAGCAAGTTGCAATCCGCTTTCGAGAATAATAAAGAGTCGGCAGAGATGGCTAAACAGACTATTGAAGATCTTTCTCATATTATTCAAGGAAAAGACCAGGAGATAAACATTTTGCAAGCTGAGATAACTCACGTGAAGAATATTATCGCGCAATCTTTGAACGATCTTACTGCTATCCAAAACCAGAAAAGTGAGGTCGAACAACTCGTTTCCGTTAAACATCACGAAAGTTTGCAATATCAAAGCGAGATCCAAAAGTTGATTCAACGCGTAAATGAGCAAGCGGTTCACATCCAGGAATTAATTTCGGAGCGAACAGCGAACGAGATGCGCAACAAGGCGAATATAGAAGAACAGCAAGCAGACCCTGATCGTAACGGACTTGATCATTCCAGACAGAGTACCGAAATCGCGGCTCTGAACAAAAAATGTGACGCCTTAGAAGCTGCTCTTGTGCAAGAGCAGTCCAACACGAGAATCCTGCAGAACCAGCTTACTGAAACTCAAAACAAGGAAGCTAACTCCGCTAAAGAATTAGAAAGACTAAGAACGCACTTGGTCGAAATGGAATCAAGCTATACGGAGGAAGCTTTGAGCGCCGAGAATAATCGTCAGGAACTAGAAGCGAGATTATTGCAGGCTGAAGAAAAAGTGAAGAGCAATTCGAACGCCCTCACATCGGCAAACATCAGGTCTAATCAGCAGGTGGAAACGCTGCAGCAACAAATAGCTCTGATCACTCAACAGCGGGATCAGATACAGGCGAAGTTGTCTGCCGCAGAGGACAATATTCAGCTGCAGTCTGCCTCTTTGACTAACTTGCAAATAGTCTTGGAGCAATTTCAACAAGGTGAATAATATTTTGTAATGTCATTATTGCAATACAGTACCGGCCAAAATTATATCGCCTTTCGATGTTTGGAGCATAACTAGTTTTAAAGTGCACGAAAAGTTCAAAAATCATGGTGTACTTTGTCACATTTCGTTATCCTTCATATACTAGATGCACCTGTTATCAAGTTGTAATGTAAACTACTGTAAACTTTTGAGCACGTTCGATGCACTTCGACGAAAGTTATGCTCAAAAAATCGAAAGGTCATTTGGCCGGTACTGTATACCATACAAGTAGTAGATACTATAATAGGTATACCTACATACTGTAGTTCTAAAATATTATGATGTATTAATAATATGCCATATTTACAGATAAGGAACGCGATGTCATGGCGACTACAGAAAGACTTCGATCTCGACTCACCGAGTCATACGAGAAACAAGATAAATTATTAGATGACATTTCGAATCTTCAGGTTTGCTTTTACATCTTTTCCGTGCATTTCGCATACCAGACCGACTGGATTTATTTTATTTTTTTAAAAAACTACATATTGCACGTACGTGTGCTTACAGCAACAGTTACGTGAAGCTAGAGAATGCTTGAAAGCTGCCTCTAGACTAAGCGAACAACTGGAGAAGAAAGACGAACAAATCGAGCGACTCAACGAGGAAGGTAACTATTATCAAACATTACGTACATCTGGCATTGTCTGCATCTTGTTCCCTGTTTATGGCATGATTAGTGTTTTTCAATCAAATTGTTTTATGCATCGTGAGAAGCGAGTTGAGAATGAGTTTACCTCTCACGATATATCGTGAGATATATAGAATCTATAGAAGATTGGTCACGTATCGTTCTTACACATACTTCTGCTTTTATCTTAACCCATTGCGATGGACTGACGAAGGTCGAGTCGCGCGCTACGGCATAAATTTAATAATGCATCAAATATAAGTTCAATATAGTACATGCATAAACGTAGTATGTAACAAACATCATGTCGGAGCAATTTGATGGTATCATCCTGCTGCGTCGCGACAGCTTCGCGCTGTCAGCGGAGAGCAACAATGAAAAATGGATCGCGCTGTTCAAATACATACAAAATATGGTAGCGACTTCAGTCAAATGATTTGCCAAATTATGCTATAAGCACCACAGATAGCAGCGTATGTGATAAATAAGTCTCCAAACTGTATATACAAAATTTCCGCGTTCCTCCTCTCTCCAACGATAGCTGCGCTCAAGTTTCCTAGCGGTTGCCGCGATGATAAGTCGACAAAATAATAATTCGGACACGTGCACTGTCACGAGGACATTACTAAATTCTTGCTGTGCAGATCTCCGAACGGAATACATCAATCTTATATATGGCTTCTTTGTAAATAACATAAAGCACGCAACGCATACGAGGAATCGTTTGGAAATGATTTAGGTAGCACCGGAAGGGACGTCATTCGTATGTTATGTATATAACACCCACGATCGAGGAGAGGATACGATAAAGTGTCGAGGGCACAAACGAACTACAGATGTAGAATTATCAGTGTGTTCGCGTTCTGTGACTAATCTGCGAAAGCAAACACGTACACAATCCGGTGATGTATTCAAATATCAGCTGGTAATTCTGGGATTTGTGACAGTAGCCCAGGATTCTTGCTGGTATCTGGCTACGAACTGGATCATCGCCTTTGCATACTCACAAATCACGTATTGGTTGGTTCATGCAATTGCCGCTGGTGCTGGTACTACGTTTTTGCACTCTACCACATGCGAGTTCTGTTTTTTTTTTCTTTTCATCCCTTGTTGGCGACTCTAACGAAAACTGTTCGGTAACTTAAACAAAAGCAAACAGGTATTAATGTTGCACCTTCTTTTATATATTACGTTAAGCTCAGCTCAGTATCCTCATCGCCTGTTTTCGTTGGATCGAGTCATTTTATGTTATTTTGTAACTAATTACAAGTACAATGACTAATTAAATGTACGATTGAATGGCTGTATATCATAGCGATTCCCCAGTAGCAATCAATTTTTGTGTAATAGATCAAATTTGTACCTTATTACCTTGCACATGTAGTAGGTATTGTCCCGTTTTCATTTTACATTGTCTAATAATGCAATTACACTACGCAATAATGTAATTTGATATTGTATTTTATCTGCCGAACCGCATGCAAAATAACGATGTACAAAAGAGGACATGAAGTAGGTATTTTGTAATTTTTCAAACCTGCACCACGTATAGCGAGCTGTATTAACGACACTAAACATCGAAACGTCGGATCACGCGATCATAATGGTATACTAATTGTAACGACAGGTAGGATTGTTTCAAAATAATTGCCACTACTTTTATCTACAAATCTCAAAATGTATTATTTTCTCTAAACGAAATATGTTGGAACTTTATTTAATTTCTGTATAATTGTTTGGAGAAATCGAAGAGCTTAGGCGACTCGAGAGAAATAATTGTATGATAAAACCTCACGTTTTGTTCAATTTTACGCGAGATTGCATCGTGGTGACGAAACGTGTCACTCCATATGCTGTAATGTATAATACATGAGTACAAATATTAGATGCAGTGGTAGAATATCAAATAGAAATGAAACTGCAGAAATGTCGATTGTAAATGAATAACACGTAGTCATAATTTGGTAGCGATGGCTGTGGGTAATCTCATGCGGTAACTGTGAGCGTGTAAATACGAAAAGCTCATATTACCTCGTGGGGTTTCCCACCCGTTACCAAGATTCGTCAAAATTATGAGCTTCTTAGTTAAAGATCATTTTTGACAGTCAGAAAAATCGCTTTTCTTTGGCTTTTAGTAAAGAAAGAGAAATTACGTTTTTTTAAAATAATAATTTACGTAAATTTCGAGGAGTGGCAAAAGATAAAGCGTTACGTACATAAGTTACTCTCTTTTCCTCTCTTTCCCTTTCTCTCTCTCTCTCGGAAACTCCGTTCGAACGTGCTCCGGTACGTGACTCCGGAGTACGGATCGTTTTACTAAAACGCTTCTTTAATTCTAGTGGCATGCGCGCAACCTTAGTTTCGTAGAACGGCATGATAAACGAAGAATGCAGCATGAGCAACTTAAGGCGCAGGCGAGAGTATTGCATCAGGTACTGGTGTGATATCGAGGCAACCAGTACTTGTGTTATACTTACGCTCGTGTCTTTTCGAGCTACCAATTCGAGCCAACTTTACAACGATGGATACCGCGCATGGTGTACATAAAAAAAAATATCCGCAATCGATTCCTTAAATAAGTATCAACCACACTCCGCAAGAGATTTGACAGTTACCTGTGGATGAATGCATTTACTAAACCCTCTCATTTTTCTCTCCAAAATTTGCGGCCCTTTAAAAAGCGCACAATTACAATTATCTCGTTTATTTATCATTATATTAACATAATAATTGCATTATTCATTTTTAGTAGCACGATTGACAGCGTCCTTGAATTTCGCTGACCAAAAGATGAAAGAGATAGTGGATCACGACGAGGAAAAGGTCGACAAGTGAGTAAATATGGTCCACATTTAACGAAACGGACGAAAGAAAGTACCTTCTGGATAATTCTTGCAGAGTTCTCGTAAAAAATCTTCTTTTGGGTTACTTGTCTTCGGCCACGTCGGACAAGTCTTCGATCCTCAGAGTTTTTGCCAACGTCTTGGACTTCACAGAGCCGGAGAAAAATAAGACCGGCTTGAACAGCGTGGCGGCACACGGTAGCAAAGATTGTGTATCGTTAAAAGTACGTACTTATTAATTTTATTATAATCGATCAATATTCATTTACGTTCAAAATTCAACAACTTGGCCCATTACGGCCGCATCGCCGATATCTAACGTTCTATATCTTGCAGGATCGAGAAGCATCTTTATCAACAGCCTTCGTGCGATTTCTAGAGAGCGAATCTAAGCCGAAGCCTCAGTTACCAGCTTTACCGATCGTGAATTCAGTAAGTAACAATGGTTCAGCGCGATAATCCTCCATTAAAAAGCATTACTCTCATTATACGCTATAATTGCAGCCTTCGTCGCGACCAGGATATAACAAACAACAATCGTCATCGTCATCATCATCGACGCAATCTACACTACTGTTGTCCAACGTTGCTCTTCCGACATTCCCAGACTTTATGCCAGCCAGAAATACAGGATCTATCTTGAAGGAGGTGTTGAAAGACAGTTGATTAAGCGCATTATATTAAACTTTGTACAAATAATGTTAGAAGTTACAATACATTCGATTGCATTTTATATCGATCTGTGATCGTTACTTCTACCATCTCATTGCATACAATTTTCATCACCTCACAGGACAAACCTAATAAGTATTTAAACAAACAACTGTGTCCATGAAACACCGAAAAATATTCAGTAATGACTCAGGAAATTTATACGAATAATTTAGGATATTTTAAGAGAGGAAATACTATATGTGTCCGCTGATTAACGTTGAATGTGACAGCTTAACTTTTGTAGCGTTCAACTCGCTTGGCTGTTGTGATAATTAACTCACAACCAAGCTCTGGAGACAGTCTAACTGGTTCTCAAACAAATCGACCAACTAAAATTTTCGAATAATAATCAAATTAAGGCGACGTTCTTAAACGCAGCTCTGTAGGACAGTAAAGTTATTTATATAATGGCTACTATATTAAGTTCGATTAAATTCCATCGAACAGATAACAATACATCTTCTACTTTCCTAAGAATATAATAAAAACTACCTACGGAGTTGGTAAACAGCAGTATACACATACATACACATACCTATACATATGAAGAATGAGAGAGGTTCTTGTTTCACTTGAAATAATTTTAATGTAGCCATATGATGTTACAATGAACGGAAAGTATTCTATACCGCTGCACTCTTTCGGTGCAGCAAAGTAACAAGATTCTCTATTTATAACGGTGACATCATATTATATAAGTAATAAATACATAGTAAAGTTTCGTTGTGTAACTAACGCGCGTACTAAAGGTATAAATACAAAATAAGACTATGTATTCGAACAAAATTTAGTGTACAAAATATAAATCTATTCAACGGTTTCATAACACATATACTATTATCATACTTTATACGAGAGATATATACACACAGATCAGCATTTCTTCATTGAAGACTCGATCATATCAAAAACTGGACAGCATTTAACATTTTATGAAAAATTGTATATA